TCCTTCCTTCCCTCCCTCCCTCCTTCTTTCCTTCCTCTTTCTCTCCTTCCCTCCTCCCCTCCTCCTCCTCACCTTCCTTCCTTCCTTCTTCCCTTCCTTCCTTCCTCCCTCCCTCCCTCATCCTTTCTTTCTAGACTCTGCTAAAATGTAAACGTGTCTGATAAGAATCTTTTAATTGTTCATAAGTTTTTGCCTTTTCTCTTATGTTTACTTTTTAATTTTAAAATAATGATAGCATTGTGTATCTACTGACATTGCTGTGTAACAAATCATCCCAACCTAAGTGGCTTAAACCAAGAACCATTTATGATTTCTCATGAGTCAGAGTCAGCTGGGGAGCAGTTGATTAAATCTTGGCTTAACTTGGAGTGACTCTGCTCCATGTATTTCTTATCATCCTTCTGCTGTCAGCCTGGATAAGTCCTTCTTATGGTGATGGCAGAAAGCAAGTTGAGACACAACAAGACCTCTTGAAGTCTAGGTTGGGACTTGCCTACCATCATTTCTAACTCATTTTATTGGCCAAAAAAAAAAAAAAATCATGTGACTGAACCCAAAGAGTAGGAAAGTATGTCCCCCCTCAGTGGGAGGGTCCTGGAAAAGTTACATGGCAAAGGGTGTGAAAATTTGGGGTTAATAATACAGTCCATCAAAATGTGGTATAGTATCAATATATAGCCTACAATCAGCATTAGGAGCTGAGTTACATCTCAAGTATTTTAATGCATATTGCTTTTATATGCATCAAAGATCTGGACAGCATGGACTCATTCCTCAGAAGTCATTCTGTAAGGGTACCAGGAGTATGAGGATCCTAAATCCCTACAATTTAGTTAGTATGTATCAAATGCCTTATCTGTGCCTAACACTGTATTAAGTTATGGGGCTTTAGGAGCTTTAAGTCAGCGGTAAACACAGACCATGGACAAGTACTTAGAAGATGGTGTGAGAGTTCTAATAGTTGAAGTATATATTGGGTATATAGGTAGCAACAGAAAAGAGGAATAATTATCTCTGTGAAAAGGCATAGAAAGCTGTGTGGAGGAGGTACTCATATTAAATCTTGAAAGATGAATGGCCAGATGCGGTGGCTAATGCCTATGTCTCAGCACTTTGGGAGGCTGAGGTGGGAGGATTGCTTGAGCCCAGGAGTTTGAGAACAGCCTGGCCAACATGATGAGACTCCATCTCTACAAAAAAAAAAAAAAATTTTTTAAAGTAGCCAGGGGCAGCGGTGCATGCTTGTAGTCCCAGCTACTCAAGAGGGAGGATCACTTGAAGCTGCAGTGAGCAGTGATCATGCCACTGCGCTCCAGCCTGGGTGACAGAGCAAGACCCTGTTGCAGAAAAAAAAAAAAGATACATCTTGAAGCCTGGAGAAGTCAGCATTCCCTGCAGAACAAGTTCAGGTAGAGAAGTACTAGTTGTAGGAAATATAATGGCAGTCTGTTAACTCTTAGAAATTAAGTACTATAATTAAAATCTCTTGTTTCTACCCAGATAATAGAAAAGTCTCCAAGAGCCAGTGAGTAACTTTATATTTTACTCCTCCTTACATTATTTTCATTGCAGTTCTCCAATGTTGGCATGCATCAGAATCGCCTGGAGAACTTGTTGAAACACGGAGTGCTGGACCCTCCCCACAGAGTTTCATAGTCAGTAGGTCTGGAATAAGACCAGAGAATTTGTATTTTGAACAAGTTCTCAGATGATTCTGATGGTGCTGGTCCAGGGATAACACTGTGAAAACTATTGCTTTATTGAATCCTTCCTATGTATCTGGTAACCTGTAATGTGCTGAGTGTATAAAGATGAAAAGAAAACATCTCTGTCCTAAAATGGTTTATAATAGGGTGGTGGGAGACAGGCAAGTAAATGTTTAATGATAGCACAATGGAAAGCATGCTGTGGTACGTGGAAGTACAGGTTGTGGTGAGAATACACCAAAGTGCATCTAACACAGAATGAGGCCAAAAGCTGCAGAGGTGTGTAAGACCCAGCAAAAACCCTTAGTCCTGAGCTGAGTTTTAAAAAATTATCATAAAATAAAACAAAAAGTAGTTACAAATAGAAAAATGACTTTGAATCATGCTTTGCATGAGATTGGTAAATTATTGATTCCTCTTTAATGTTGCCTTTAAGATCAAAATTCTTTAGGAAGCTGTTGGTCCTATAGGTGGGGCAATATAACTCTGCATTATTTTGCAAACAAAAGATATCCTTTCCTTTGTTATTTTGTTTTACTCTTCTTCAGCAATTTTTTAAGATGCCAGAGAGAGATGTTGTGTTTATCATGTGCGATTCAACATTTTCACAAAAACTGCTAGAAACTTTATGTATATCAAAATATAGACAAAACTAGACAAGAACAGGAACAATCACAGCTAGTGAAACAGAGCTGGTTAGGCAGCTTGACCTGGGAATTTAGATGCTGAGTCCATAGGTGAACAGGATCAGCTATCCGTTGCAGTTGTAGGTTAGCGTGAGGCCATGAGACAAAGTGACATCTTTGCCTCCAGAACAACACTGATGCAATGGATAGGTTATGGACCTGGGCAGGACTATAGATAGCTTTCACTTGGACACGATAAACTGGGTGAGGGCGTTGGGCAGGAATGAATTATAGGTATACTTGAGGCAGGCAGCTCATTGGTCAGTTTTTTGAGTTATATGCCCCTAAAATGGAAGCAAGAACTTGACAAATGGCTGGGCTAGTTTTGAGAAAGAGATTTACACCCGTGAGGTTGTCTTGGCAATAAAGATATTCTGCCTTTTTAATGAAGCAGCCCTGAACTATACTGTCATCACAACCTAAAGAGATAACACCTTTATAAGGAATAATAAGGTTTGTGAGGCTTCTGGCTGTATATTTATTTACAATTTTAAATTGAAAGCCTATCCCTAAAGCCATGTAGAATATTTCATTTTATTTTATTTTTTTGAGATGGAGTCCCGCTCTGTCACCCAGGCTGGAGTGCACTGACATGATCTTGGCTTACTGCAACTTCCGCCTCCCAGGTTCAAGTGATTCTCCTCCCTCAGCCTCCCAAGTAGCTGCGATTACAGGCATGTGCTGCCACAACCGGCTAACTTTTGTGTTTTTAGTAGAGACGGAGTTTCACTATATTGACCAGGCTGGTCCTGACCTCCTGACCTCAAGTGATCCGCCTGCCTTGGCCTCCGAAAGTGCTGGGATTACAGGCGTGAGCCACCATTCCTGGCCTGAATATTTCGTTTTAAGCAATTATACTCTACCTGGTAAAGGGAACTGAAGTCCAGAAGAAATTATAAATAGAATGCTCAAACTTTAAAAGGATGTAGTGCAATATATTGTTATTGAAGAATTGGTAATAATAATTATTTGTACCCTTTTTACTTGTCCTTTTATAATATAATTTAACAATGAAATCTTGTAAACTTTTTCTTAGCATACATCTGTGGATGGATATACTGAACCGCACATCCAGCCTACCAAGTCGAGTAGCAGACAGAACATCCCCCGGTGTAGAAACTCCATTACATCAGCAACAGATGAACAGCCTCACATTGGAAATTACCGTTTACAAAAAACAATAGGGAAGGGAAATTTTGCCAAAGTCAAATTGGCAAGACACGTTCTAACTGGTAGAGAGGTAAGTTTCACAATGCCTTTTAATATCTGCCTGGACCTCTCTGGAGTCTTGTTAAAGCTTCCCTATAGCTCATGTTTGGGAGTAAATGACAGTTTCAATATGGTAAACACTGGGGTATGTGTGAATGGAACATTAGTAGGCAGAGGTTTATCGTGGCATAAAGGTTGACCTTTTAATATTTAGAAAAGAATCATTCATACATATTAGCATCTTATCAATCAGGTGTGCTGCAGATGAGCTTTCCTCAGATGTTGACTTTCGTTATATGATTTCTGTGAACATTTCTGATTTCCATTGCTGCCCAACCCTCAGGAACAAAAGTTCTTGCTGCTTGAGATAAGTTAGGTATAAATATGTAGAAAGTCACCTGCTAATTTGTATGTATTTAGAGACTACATTGAACAAGTACTTCTGTGTGGGTGGTTTTCTCAGGTAGTAAGATAATTGGATTTCTAAAATCTCATGTGTTTTTTTTTTTTTTTTTTGAGACGGAGTCTCGCTCTGTCACCCAGGCTGGAGTGCAGTGGCCGGATCTCAGCTCACTGCAAGCTCCGCCTCCCGGGTTCACGCCATTCTCCTGCCTCAGCCTCCGGAGTAGCTGGGACTACAGGCGCCCGCCACCTCGCCCGGCTAGTTTTCTGTATTTTTTAGTAGAGACGGGGTTTCACCGTGTTAGCCAGGATGGTCTCGATCTCCTGACCTCGTGATCCGCCCGTCTCGGCCTCCCAAAGTGCTGGGATTACAGGCTTGAGCCACCGCGCCCGGCCATGTGTTTTAACTTATATGTATTTATATAGTAAGGATTTATATACTTGCATATATGTACATTGTGTATATATATCTGTATGCTAGGGTTAAAGACTTTATTTTAATAAACGTGTAACATTTTGTATTACATAACGTTTACTAGATCTGATTAGGACATTATATAAAAAAAAAATCTTAATCAGGCCCAATGCAGTGGCTCATGCCTGCAATCCCAGCACCTTGGGAGGCTGAGGCAGGCATAATTGCTTGAGGCCAGGAGTTCAAGACCAGCCTGGGCAACATGGCAAAACCCCGGCTCTACAAAAAATACAAAAATTAGCTAGGCATGGTAGTGTGCAACTGTAGTCCCAGCTACTTGGGAGCTTGAGGTGAGGGTCACTTGAGCCCGGGAGGTCAAGGCTGCAGCGAACTGTGATAGCTCCACTGTATTCCAGCCTTAGCAACAGAATGAGATCCTGCCTCAAAAAAAAAAAAAAACTCAATAAAAATATTTTTAATAAATTTTCACTTTGCTCTATATATAATATTATTGTCGTTTCCCATTGAATTTGGTTCCTTCTGTCTATTCTGACCCTAGGTGCCATTCAGAGACAGGGAATACGGGGCAGAGCCTTAGATATTCAGGTCCGTTTTGTCAGTTTGCTCTAAGTGAGCTTGGATATCCAATCTCTCTACCAGCAGAATTGTTTTATTCACATAATATTTAACTTACTGCAAGTTTACAAGCCACTTCCCCCCTATAATTGTTGCTTATCAAGATCATGAGTAAAAGGTTAAGATACAGGATGATTTTTACTTTAAAGAAGGAAACTTAGAAGAAATAGCAACGCTTTCATTTCATTGGCTCAGGATCAAAAGATTAAGGACTTGGGTCAATGGAGTATATTCTAAGGCTGCCAAATTATCAAAATGTTACTATCTGATTATGTGAATACCTAAAAAGAGCGAAATGATATCTAGTTAGGAATGAAACAAAAGTTGGGTTTTTTATAAGTTTTATTAATTAAAATATGCATTTTTCAAACAGAGTTTAATGATTCTTTTTTTTTTTTAGGTTGCTGTGAAAATAATAGACAAAACTCAGCTAAATCCTACCAGTCTACAAAAGGTATTTAATTAATTTAATAAGTAATTAGAATGTGAGTTTATCATTAATATATGATGTTCTGTAAAATCATTCTAAATTTTCTGTTAGCTACAATTCTACATTTCATCAATATGTGAAGAAAAGACATGATATAAAATGTAATGTTTATGACTTACCAAGTAGTTGCTTGAAAACTATCTAATACTTAAATACATGTACCATATGAAAGAAATTTATCTCTTCTATTCAATAGAATAAAACCTTGTATCATACATATTCAGGATTTGAAATATTCAAATATTTTGAAGTATTTTCAAGTATTCAGAATTGACCTCTGAAAATTAGATTTATATTAAATGAATAATCCACTTACTGATAGTATCTGGTGTCTTAGCTGTTATATAAAATGACAAATGGTGGCCTAAGCCATTTAAACTTTTGTGAATTTTCAGATGAAGTCCAGAGACCTTGCTGGTAAGCTTTGTAATTAAAAATCTAGTTAGAAGTTAATATTGTTCATAGGTGAGTTTCCTTTTATTGCTTCATTTGCTCTTCTTCCTTCTTCCACAAGAACTACTAGTCTTTCAGATAACTCACAGTAAAAAATAAGAATGTTTCTTTAAAGGATGAAAATATGAAACAACATAGAGAGAAAAGAAAGCAGTTAGGACGGAGATTGCCTTAGCAAACCAAAGCTATTTCATGTTACTTCATTAATTACTTAAATGAGAAAATTTTCTCAGATGTGCATTTTAGTACTTTAAAAATGAAACGAATGTTTTAACATTTATGCCATATATGATAGGTTTGTATAGAGTGAGAGAATGTACATTGTGACTTTTATTAGAATGTAATGGGACCATTGTCACATATGTAATTTTAACACAAACGACTTTGAATTCCTAAAACAGAAAGAATCTTATAAGAAAGTGTTAGTATGCTGTGCTTACATCTGCTATGATTGTAGCATTAGATTAAAAATTTAGGTTTGTGTTATTCAAACTTTCTTCTCATTTGGCTCAGTCCCAGATTTCTTCTTAGAGCTCTGCCTTTGTACTTATTGGAGATTCTTTTGAAAATTTGACAACCAGTTTAACTTTTCGTAACACTGATATTTCTGCCCAGTAAGAACATGAAAACTTTGCTGGGTTCTATTTTTTCCGTGAATGTGAGATAATGTATTCTAAGTTTCTTCTGGGAGAAAGTCTCTTCTTCTAGCATCAGTCTTTTTGCTAACCGTGATGCATTTGTGTAAGTGACAAAAAGACATCTTCCCTGGACCAATTAACTACGCAAAGATGCTGTTTTTTACTGGGCTGGAACCACAGTGGGATATGTCTTTGCCCACCCGTGTGCTGGGAACCCATTTAAAATGCACAGACTTTGTAACTGTACACAGTGTCCCTGTCCGTGGCTCACCTAGCTTTTCTACTTTTCCTGTATTTAGCTGTGGATTACCCTAGCAAATTGAGTGATTTTAAGTGGCATCTAGAACTACTCAGGCCTGTTGTGCTAGCTGGAATACACAGTAATGCGGCTCCTACTCTGTCTTTTCCAAGGTTGTATAAACAAAGTTGTACTTACTGAAACATGTGAACATGAGACTGAATGTTGCTTTCTTTATCTGAATAACTAAAATGTATACTTCTTGATGATAAGTAATTTCTGTCATATAGTCTACTAATCTTGTTGATAAAGTATTGCTTTTCCAAATAGGCATATAAAAAATGATACAATTTTGTTTTCTTTAACCTGTGAAAATAAAAATAAAGATGAAGACTCACTAAATGTAGCCAGTACACTGTGTATGTGTGATTGTTTTTTAAGTGATTTACATGTATGTTCATAGATTTGCTTTCTTTTAGAAGTTCTGAAGAAAAAACAGATCAAGTCTTCATTAACTCTCATGTGTTTAGAACATTCAGCATTTGACCTTTCCCATTTAGGCAGTGGCATCTCCCAGTGAGTCATACCTAAAAAGTAATGGGATGTAAAACAATCCATTTTTCCCTAGCATTGGAAAAGATAGTAAAATTTGCTTCCATGTCTTAGGTATACTCATTAAAAGGCAGGTAATTATCGCACATTTATATGAAATAAGGATTCATTGTAATCTCACTTCTAGAAGTGTTTGGGTAAATTTGTTCTGTTTTGATCTGAATTTAAGCTGATCCCTCTCCTTTACCCTCTTCTGTGTATCAGATATTTATAGGAATTATTGCCTTCCTTTGCAAACATCAATGATAGATAAAATAATCTAAAGTTGATACACCAACTGCTTAACACTGCCAAAATACAAAGCTCTTAAACGCGTTTGGTTTTTGGAATTGTTAAGTATCTTTGGCTTCAATATTGTTCCCATAATATGCTCATATTATTTGTATTACATATTTTGAATTAATGGAATCCAATTTAATTAGTTTTCATAGTTACAAAGTATTTAAGGTAGATGCTATTTTTAGTTCTTCCTCTTCAAAGCATTAGTTCTGCCTCATATAATAATGTATTTTAGAAGAGGGTCCATGAACCACACTAGTGATTCCTGGGTTTTGTTTGTTTGTTTGTTTATTTGTTTGTTTTGAGACGGAGTCTCTCTCTGTCGCCTAGGCTGGAGTGCAGTGGCGCTATCTTGGCTCACTGCAACCTCCACCTCCCAAGCTCAAGGGATTCTCCTGCCTCAGCCTCCTGAGTAGCTGGGACTGCAGGCACACGCACCACACCCGGCTAATTTTTTTTTTTTTTTTTTTTTTTTTAATAGAGACAGGGATTCACCATGTTGGCCAGGATGGTCTCAATCTCCTGACCTCGTGGTCTACCCACCTTGACCTCCCAAAGTGTTGGGATTACAGGCATGAGCCACCACACCCAGCCTCCTGGGGTTCTTTTAAGCAGCCTACTAATGTTGAAGGAAAAGCAAAATAATGAAACAATATTTTTCATAGTTCATAAATTTGAAATGTTGTAGGATCATTTTCTCAGAGATATCACTAGTTTTGAAACTCGGACACATCAATTTATGCAAAGATGGCAAAGTTTGTGTCAAGTCTGCCTCAGCTTATAGTCACCAGGGTACAGTTAATCTCTGCTAACATTTTTGTATCTTCCGTGTATCACTTATTAGTTTACATTTTCCATTGTTTTACTGTGTTATTTTATGTTCCAGATTCACAAAAGTGGCTAAGTAGTTCAGAAGTGATTTCCTAACTAGTAAAATCTGTAATGAAAATAAAAACAAGACTTACTACAACTCAGAATTATGTCATTATATAATAGATGACTGCTGCATTGAAGTTTTATAGAATGTGAATTGCTTTGCTAGGACAGTGATTTTACACAAACAGGAAAAGGGTAAAAAATTTAAATTATTGAATTCTGAAAATTAGACTTTATTAAATGAATTTTCAATTTACCACTCATGTCTGGTGTGTTACTTGTTATATAAAATGTTGTCAAATGGTGGCCTAAGCCATTTAAACTTTTGTGAGTTTTTGAATAAAGCTCAGAGACCTCTCTGGTAAGCTAATTAAGTTTTCCAGAATATCTGCAAAATAATCTTTGTCATGTTGAAGAATTTCATAGCGAAAGGTAGAGAGGAGAACAGAACCATGGGAGCAATATTCAGAATTCAGTATGTTTTAGCAAATTATCAGAAACCAAACTTGTAAAACCAATCACAAAATTATTGACAAATATTTTTATCAAGGAGCGAGCAGAAGAAGTGCTTTGGAAGTATTCCTTAACAAACGTTACTATTGGGCATATATTGAAATATCAGCTACTCTCACATATAGCATATTTCACTTTATAGCTGAACAAAACCACTTATGTGCTGAGTAATTCTTTCATACAGTTCTTGTCACGTGTGTGGATCATTTGAAGGAACAATTTGGCTAGTTCTTACGTGAGCCAACAAAAACATAAGTGATAAGAGAATTATTATTTTGTGAAATGGTATGTAGACTGCATATCTTTTAATCAATAATGATGAAATACCCCTAGAGCTTTTTTGAAATTTAAAGGTGGGGATATTCTGCAAGGAATAATACTACCATGTGAATAAATAAGATTATGCCTAATGCCCAGTTACCCACTGTTTCCTTCTCCATGAAATTAGCGGTTGGCAAGATGCTTTTAATTTTGATTTGGTTTCGGACAAAATACTGAAAACAGGGTTTAACATAAAATCATATGCAGAATTGGTGGGAAGTATACTTTTCACGCTGAAATATGGGGATTTTGAGGGAAAAGGTGTTTAAACAAGTGTTTCAAAGGTGATACCAATAATATTAATATCTGGCTAAAATACCAACAGTTTAAATGTTGAGGATGTGATCATCAGATTTGCTGAGAGAAACAAACGGTGCAGTTTAGTGACCAAAAATCTGACTTTTCTAAACCTTGTTAGCCTTCTTTAATTACTGGAGAAAGGGCTCAATGACATATAATTGGGCATTTTTAACATACAGATGTGCATCCAAATATGAAGAATATCTTCCAGAGCAAGCATATCCAAAGAGTATATCAAAAATCTGTTTGCTAATATCCCTCAAATTAAAACTTCCAGTCTTTCAGATTTTGAGTTTAATAAGCTTGACAACCTAGAATTTGACAGCCATACATAATCTTCAGGGAGGAATATCTCTTTAAGGTTAGATTCAGTAATCACTCTGAATGTCTTCAGAATTATCTGAAACATTACCTAATGCTTATTCATTTTCCCAATCTATGACTGTGACTTGGGAATTTTCAGTCTTGCTGATTTTATTTCTTATATCTCTTTTGAAAATATCTGCTTTTATCTTTCTCCATCATGACCAGTTTAGACAAAGTCACTATTATCTTCTTGTAGCCTTCTAACTGCATCCACTTTATGTACGTATGTACGTACACACACACACACACACACACAGAGAGAGAGAGAGAGAGAGAGTTTAAAATGTAATACGTAGAGTTTAAAAGTCGTCAAGGATGCAAAATACGTCTTTGAATATGCTATCCCTTTGTTTAAACTTTCAGATGGC